GCACCTCACCAAGGACACAGAACCGGTACACGGCAAGCCCAGACTCTGCCCAGAACCTGGTTCCAGACTCCGAAGACATCGCTCCCCACCGGGCTGTCAGCGGCCGGGACTGAAGCTCGCCGTGACCTCTGACAGCTACAGGCTGCAGAGCACGCTCTCAGGCGACGAATCGCCACCGCTGCCCTCTCCACGCTCGCCCTGTTGTGGATCAAAAGCACAGCATCTCGCCACTGGGAGAGCCCTAGGGGTCCTCTCCAGGACGGCCCGACTTCGAGGGTTGCAGGCCTTGTGGGAAGCGAAACAAAGCTTGGGGCAGCGCCCGGCAAAGCAGACATGGCTTTGCTGCATGTAAGCTCAGGTCCGCTCAACTTCGGGGTTCACAACAGAGTGAAGAGGCAACCCACAGAATGGGAAAAACTCTTGCCAGCTACTCACATAGGACTAACATCTCAAACATATACGCCGGGCGTGGTGGTGCACGCTTAAAATCCCAGCACTCGGGAGGCTGAGGCGGGAGGATAGCCATGAGTTTGAGGGCAGCCTGGGTTACATAGTGAGTTCAAGGCCAGCCTAAACTACATAGCAAAACCCTGTCTCAAAGAAACCCACACCCCCCTAAAAAAAACCCAAATATATAAAGAACTCAGAAAAATCAGACTCCATTAAATAAAATTTTAAAAAATGGGCAAGAAGAAATACAAATGGTTAACAAATACATTAAAAACTGCTCAATATCAATGGCCATTAGAGGAAGGCAAATTAAAACATTGTGAGGCTCCGTCTTACCCCAGAAAGAGTGGCTCTCACCAAGAAATCCAATAATAACAAGTGCTGGTGATGCTGCTGAGGAAAGGGAACACTTGTTGGCGGGAATGTAAATTAACACAATCACTACGGAAATCAGCACAGAGCTTCCTCAAGAAACTAAAACTAGAAATTCCCCTTGACCCAGCTATCTAGGTATTTTTCCCAAAAAGTTAAAGACATCATATTAAATGATCCATGCATACCTCTGTTTATAGCAACACAACTCATAATAGGTACGTCTTAGAAGCAACCTATATGTCCATCAGATGAGTGGGTATTTCACACAGCGGAGTACTACTCTGTCATAAAGAAGGGTACATTGAGGCATTTGTAGGAAAATGGGTGCGCTGAGACCATAATGTGAAGTAACTCAGACACACAATCTTAAATACTACATGGTTTCTCTCCTGTGAGAAACCCAACTGACACATGAAGAGCCACATAAAAGACAGACCACAGCACACAGGGACAGAGAGCTTTCTCATGCGCGAGTGGGTCAAGGGAGGGAGGGAGCGAAGGCGGCAGAGGGATTGAGCTCTGTCAGTCCTACCCAGCTGCACACGGGCACGTGGGCATCCGCACCGCAGACGTGGACGGATAGAGAGAAAAACTGAAAGAAATCGCAAGAGGGCGGGCTTCGAAGGGCTGGGGCAGAGACTCCCGCGCACGCTCAGCACTGCAGGGCTCCTCCCCGCAGCGTGTCCAGCGAGGAGCCCTGTCTGGGCCGCGCTCTCTGCGCCATGGCCAGGCTGCCCCGTCCCCTCGGCCCCGTGGCGTGGAGGTGGCTGACCCGACCCGCACACGGCCTCTGGCCACGGCCTCGTGGGGACGTCAGCACAGCTGGCTGGGACTAGAACAGAACCGCGGGGAGGGCAGAGAGCAAGCAGGACAAGTGGCGGGGCGTCGCCCACGGAGGCCCCCAGCCCGTCAGTCAGGAGCAGGAACGCGGCCGCCTCCACCTCCTCAGCGAGCCCTGCTCCTCCCGGACATCGCTGCCGGGCTCGCGGGGGACCCAGGGCTCACAAACACACTGCACTGTGCTCTTCAAGTGTTTCTTAACTGCTACCCGAGTGTGCACCCCGGTCATGCTGCACAGTCCCCAGATCTGAATGCTGCGCCTTGGGGACTTTAGAAGTAGCGTTCTCTGTGGTCTGACATCTGGCACATTGTACTCAATGGTGCGTGTGTGAGGCTCATCCATGTCATTATACGCAGTTTAGTCCTTTTTACTTCTGAAAATCTTTCATTAGTATGAATGTACTTTATCAGTTCTTTTGTGAATGGACATATTAGTTTTGGAAGTTGTGACTAAAACTGTTACCAACAAGTGCTTTGTTTCATACATGCATGTATTTAGCTTGGTCCACCTAAACAAACTCCTGTGTAACTTCAGGTTTTTAGACAACAGCAAGAGTAGTTGTGCCAATCTGCACTCTCACTAGGAGCGTGTGTTTGTGTTCCAGTTGTCCCCTCTCCTCACCAACACTTAGCATGATTAATCCTTTTAATTTTAGCTATTTTGGCTGTTGTATAGTGCAGCTCTTTGTGGTTTTAATTTGCACTTCCTTGACAGCTAATAGAGTTGAGCTCTTTTTCATCTATTTATTTGCCTTTGTTGATTAGACCTTTTGGCAACTTAATACTCCTCTGACTCATACAGTACTTGAAGCCAAGTGCAATAAACTGTCTGACATACGATTTAGTCATCTCGCCCCTGTTGACTTCAGTTGGATTTTGGGGCCCAGGGCCGGTCCAAACAGTCCTGATTGTAAGGGTAAATAATGTTCACCGGTGCCCGCATGTTCCAGGCACCGAGCTCAGTGCGTGACATGGGTGGCATCTCTCTGAACTCTCGACTGCTCTGAGGGCGACGCTGGTATCATCTCTACTTCGCTGGCAAGGAACGAAGGAGGGGTTGGGGTGCATGCCAAGGCCGGCGGCTAGCAGGGGCACTCTGCCTCTACCTCCCATGCTCAGTGGGGATGGTGCCTTGGATGCTTACAAACAAGCTTTACAGAGGCTGAAAGCCGAATAACAACATGGAATGTTGATTGTCCAGAGTGGAAAGATATTTGCAGAGCATGACAAAAGATTGACGTCCTTAAAGTGTGAAGTTTCTACCAGCTAATAAAACAGCTCAGTCAAAATGCAAGGTTTCTGGGATTGGAAAAGTCGGGTCTCTGCATGCGTGCCCCGTTTCTGTGCCCCTTCCCCGGGGTTTACGGACGGACTTGGCCGGACTGAACAGCTGCCCCGTTCGGAAGCCGCGTCTGTCTCCCCGTTTCTGTGGGATTTCAGTTTCAGCACCAGTGCCACGGATACCAAAGAAAACGGAGCGCTCTGTGCACCCCCCCGCCTCCCCCGTGCTGCGCCGCCGTAAATTATCCCCGGTTACAACCCGACTTGATGGGACGGCAGGGTTGGGGGTGCTGTTCCCCGGCGTCGCCTCAGGAGCAGTGGCTCTGAAGGGGCTGACCCGGCCTCGCAGGTCATGTCCATTGGCCATTTCCGAGGCGAGCTGGTCAGGGCCACGCACACAGCGTGAGGGGCGGGGGGACCCGGCGGGGGGACCCGCTGCACCCCAGGCTGTGCTGCACTCTCTCACCGGCACTGCTCTGCCTCGTCCCGCTCTGGCGACCCTTTCAAGGGAAGAAATGGAATGTTCTCTGGGCTTCTGGGCCCCGCGCTGCTGACACTGGGCTGTGGCTTCTCGAGGTGGGGCCGTCCCAGGCATGGCAGGTGCGGTACAAGCTGCTCGGGGCGCCTGGGCCCCTCCTGGTAGGTGCCAAGCCCACCCCCACTGTCGCAGCCAAAGCTGCTTCAGACAGGAACTCGGGTGCGTGCGGATCTCGGGGGGCACACAGGAACTTGGTGTGTGTGCAGATGTCAGGGTGCACACAGGAACTTGGGATGTTCTCAGGAAATCAGGGTGCATGTGGATCTTGGGGTGCACACAGGAAGTCAGGGTGTGTGTGGCTCTCGGGTGGCCCAGGCTGAGGTGCCACCCGCTAATCATCCCTAGCCGCGCAGTGTTGCTCACGTTGTGATTTCCGTGCCCGACACCCTGCCCTGCTGGTTTAGTGCTCGGGGAACTGGTCCCTGTCCTGTCTTCCTTGCTTGTGGGATTCCTCACATTCCAGGCTCACCCGGCCACATGCAGTGTCCCCACGCCTTGTGCTTCTTACGAGCTTGATTTTGTTGTTTCCGATGTCGGAGAGAGAACCCCGAGCCTCACACTGAGCTGCAGCCTTTCTATTTTTTACTTTGAGACAGGGCCTTGTGAAGCCACCTAGTTGCCCAGCTGGGCTTGAACCTTCGATGCTCCTGCCTCAGCCTCCCAGAGTGCTGGGATTCCGGGGGTGCACCCCTGCACCTGGCTTTGGGAGCCTGATTTTGCTCCTGTACCCGGCACTCGCTTCCCGTCACAGCCCCCCGTGTTCCTCTCCGGATCGAGCACCAACGCCTCAAGGAGGCTTTCCCACCTGCCATGCTCTGGGGGCGGCATTTCCCGTGAGCCTGCACCCTGCAAGCCTCCCAGCTGGGCTGTACTCTCCTGGGCTCACGCGTCAGGCTGTTGAGCCCCTCCTGGGGACGCCAGGCACTGAGAGCCGCAGGGTCTCACTGAGTCCTGTGCCAGAGCAGCCGTGCCATTTCCAGGAGTGGCAGCCCTTGTCCTGGGGACACAGGCGCTGTGCAAGCCCCCAGAGACCCGATATGGGGTTGGCAGGAAGAAAGCGGGCTCGGCCCTTGGGGACAGCGGGCTTGGAGATGGGGTGGGCTGCCTCAGCCGGTCCAGCCCTGAAGAGACCCCGGGGAGTGGCGGACAAACCGGGCAGGAGCGAGAGAGCTGAGCTCTCAATGGTCTGATCCAGCGTGCGAACAGACCTGCTGTCTTCCTCCCTGGTCTGAGCCGGTTCAACCTGCGCCGCAGAGTCCTGTGGCCGTGAGCCGGGGCGGCCGGGGTGTGCACCACGGGGCAGGCTGGCTGGCGCACTTGTCACTCTGTAGGAGCCGGCCCTGCAGGTGATGCAGGGGCTGCGCTCGTGATGCTGTCCGTCTGTCTCTCTTACACCAGAACCACAGAGAGCAAGGACCCACAGTCCCGGGGCGACCCCTTGCGCTGTGGGACGGAGTCCTGGAAGAGGTGGGAGGGAGAAGGCGGGTGCCGTGCCCGCGGGGACGGGCTCTCCTACCTTTCCCATCCCGGCGTGGGCGTGTCCCAGCTTGACCACCACGGGGAAGTGTGGAGCTGTGAGCTGGAAAACACAAGAGGAAGTTGCCGTTAGCGTGGCCCCAGGGAAGGCACCGGCCGGTGTCGCTCTCCAGGAGCCCCAGCGTGCTCTGCACATGGGCCACGGCCTCACTCCTGTACCTGCCGGTGGTGTGAGCTCAGGGAGCACCCCGCCTGCACACCCGCCAGACTGCGGAGACAGGAGCGGGGCTGCGGGGTGGAGGAGCTAACCGGCTTCAAACTCAGGCTTTGGAACAGTACGACCACAGCCCGGGGCCATTGCCCGGCTCTCGGCTGGCAGCTGTCCGCCTGGCCCATCACCCGTCCTGGTGTCCCTTGGCACTGGCACCCTGAGGCCCCGCTCTTCTCTGCTGGTGCTGGGAGCCTGCACCCCTGCGCCACGGCTGCTGTCACTGCAGTGGGAGGCCAGCCCGCTCCCGGGGCCCCAGCCCAGCCCATGCCCGCAAGGCCCGAGCAGCTACTGCCTCTCTTCCCTTCCCCACAGCGGTTGTGCTTAGTCCCCTGGGGCTGGTGGGCATGCAGGCTCGGCCCTCCCAGGGCCGCGGGGGTGCACCAGAGCTCTGGCCTTGGAGTGCGAGGCCCGACTTCCTCCAAGGTGACACGGGTGGCAGGGACACGGGTCTTGAGAACAGAGATCCTGCCCTGATAAGGACCCATTTCAAAGGGACAGAGGCCGAGGTTCCTGCAGGGTGCTCCCTGAGGAGGCTGAGTCAGAGCAGCCTCTGCCCAGATTGGCAGCCCTGGACCAGCCTCCTGCCCAGCCCTGGACTGAAGAGCCGGGTGCCCCAGCCTGGAGCTGCTACCCCAGCTCCTGAAGTGGAGATTGGAACCTGAGGCGCCTGGCCCTGGCTGAGCACCGCTGTGGTGTGAGTGTGTCGCCCAGGGCTGCCCGACACCTGCAGTGACCCGCGTCTGATGAGGCGGACGGGGGGTGTCTTGCCTGGACACTCAGCACCAGGGTGGCTCGGACCTGCCAGGGCGACCAGGTGCTCCGGATCCCCGAGCTGCCCTGTCCCTGGGTGAAGCTGGTGTGGGCAGGCGGGGGCCCGCAGGTCCACGAGGACCCGACCCCTGCGGGGACAGTGGCACCACAGCGTGGGCTGCGGCATGGCAGAGGCCAGAGGAGCCGGTCACCCCCGGGCTTGCGCGACGCTTGAGACAGCCTCGTGCCCAACCCCCCTGTGACTCAGTTTCCTCACCCTCGACGCAGGTCCTTGCCCTCCTGCAGATGGATGAGGGCCCCCTCTGTGAGCTGAGGGGGTCACCGAGGGGCTGGGCGCTCACAGGCCACGGCCGGGGCGCGGTGTGGACAGCTCTGGGGCCCGGGCCCGGCAGGGCGTGTGGCAGAGGCCATCCCACTCCCGTCCCCTCCTCATCGCTGGCCCCAGGGATGCGGTGAGGTGAGGCGAGCGACGTCACAGGTGGGAACGGGAAGGAGAGGAAGGGGGAAACTGAGGCAGGGAGTGTGCCGGGGGGCGGCCGGAGGGGGTTTGCGAGGGACACTTGCAGAAGCCCCACTCGGAAGGAGTCTGAGCTGCACGCTGAGACTCTCGCCATGGGGGTCCCAGGAACCACACACACACACACACACACACACACACACACAGACACACAGACACACACACACAGACACACACAGACACACAGACACACACACACAACCTGCGGGATTCTCCAACCCTTTGCCTTGGGAAAGGTCTACATGAGGGGAGCACGCAGACATGTGTCAGGACGATGCTGCCCCATGGCCCCTCCTGCCTCTGCCAGACAGTGTAGTCTGCCCTTGGCCTCTGCTCCCTTCCCAGCTTGGATGTTGGCGCTGCACCTGCTGGCCACAGGGCCTTGGCACGTGCCCTTCTCCTCCGAGACGCCGCCCTTGCCTCTTGTTCCTCCCCGCTCTTCCGTTCGCCCAGGATCTTGGCCTCCCTGTCCCTGCCCAGGCCCGCGGCCGCCACCCTGTCCTGCCACGCCTTATCTGTGAGCTTGCTTAATTCAAAGGCAACAGCCCCGAGAGCCTGTGGGCTGTACCTGCTCCGGGGCTGTAGACTCCAGGGTCCCACAGGTGCCCAGCCCGCCATGCCGCAGCCTGCGTGCCCTGCTGTCACACCCCTGGGGTGCTTGTCTTCCCGGCGCCACCTGCCCTCTCACTCCTGCCGTGGCCCAGGTTCTGGGGAGTTCGTGTGCAGGGCTGCGGTGGCCCTGCTGCTGGAGGCGCCGCCCTGATGGCGCCCAGGACACCTCTGCCCCATGCCTCCTCCCGCGTGGTGGGAAAGGGCCGCTGGTGGATGTAGGGGACTCAGAGCAGCCCGCCCAGCGCAACGGCAAACACTCCTATCCCTGAGCTTGCTGTTTCCCGACAAGCGGAACAGTCAGAAATAAATAACGTGAGGGGGTGGCACCCGCCTGCCACTGCCCTCCCCGCCCCTCCTCCTCCTCCTCCTCCTCCTCCTCCTCGTCCTCCTGTGCTCGCCTGTGCCCACCTTCTCCCTTGAGGACCTCCTGGGCCACCCTCAGGGTGCAGGCGACAGCCCTGGGGATGCGGTGGCTCTGGGCAGGGGCTGGACAAGGACCCTGGGCCCCCCAGGGAAGTTACTGCAGAATCTCAAATTTTCTGAGTTTTCCACCACAATTTTCTTTTCCTGTTCTCTCTCTTTGGCTCTTTTTGTGGTCCTAGGGTGGAACTGTACCCCTGAGGTCTCTGTAATGGTCGATACACTGTGTCAACTTGAGAAGTTTAGAAGTTTCACTAAGGGACTCAGCAGGGGCCAGGGTCCCCGCTTTGTAAACATCCTCATCCTGTGCAAGAGGAGGGCCCCAGATGGTGCGGGCGGGGAGCCTGCTTACAATGTGAAGGAGGAAGGGAGGCGTGCTCTCACTCCCCGCTTTGCTTTCCCTGATTTTGCTGTCTTCTGCTGCCTTAAACCGTTACTCCTCTGCCATGTGCCACCCTGCCTTGGAGCCAGCTGATTATGGACCGAAACCTCCACAAACTGTGAGCTAAATAAACCTTCCGTCCTTTAACTTTGGGTGCTGGGTATTTTTCCCAAGCAATGAGAGAATAGCCAAGTACCCAAGACAGTCTCACTAAATTTCCCAGGCTGGCTTTGAACTTGTGATCCTCCTACCTCAGCCTCCTGAGGCGCTGAGATCACAGGCATGCACCACTTTGGCATATTTGCCCTTTCCTGATAGTTGAGTTCCAGCTCCATCTCTGGGTGGGGGGCGCCCATGATCCCTGTTATGGGCAGCTGCTCTTCCATTTCTAGGGGCTCCCCACAATGGTTGGGTGCTGAGCTCACTTGCCCAGAACCCAGAGTCCTTTGCTCCAGCTCCCGTTCACACATGTGTGCTGTAAGAAGGGACGGTCCTTGTGTGCCGAGAGGGCTCCAGCTGCCTGGCGGACACCGCGTGCGTGGGGCTGTGGCTTTGCGTGGTGCTGCTTGTCTGGCTCAGGGAGACAAGTGCAGAGAACGGCGTGGAAGAGCCCTGCAGACCTGAAGCTGCGGGAACGTCTAGGGCCTGCTCCAGGGCTCATTCCTGCGGGACGTGGCCAAGTGAGGCCTCTCTGGAGCCGTGGCTGTGTCTGTCTGTCCCTCTGTCCCTGAGGGCCAGCAGGCAGCGCCCCTGTTGCTGTGAAGGTTTGGGTCTGTGACACGCACGTCACAGGTGCGCGGATCCTGGCTAGTTCTCTGGGGATTATTTAGTGACGGTCACTCACCATCGACTCCCCAAAGGCCAAATGGCCACCGGCTGCAGCTACGGACTTGGTTTTCTTTTTTACTACTGTTTATCGTAAAAGTCTGCTTTGAAGTCACACTGCAAGTGCTCATGAAATTGACAGGATGAGTTTTCCGGAGCGTCGAATGCATTTCCCCGTGCACAAGGACGCTCACACTCTGATGCTGGCTCATGGCCTGGCTTTCCCAGGTCAGACTTGTAGGCGTTATTTAATTTGGTGAAATCTGGCCTTGCAGGTGCGGTGATTGTGTCCGACTCTAAGCCATACTGTGACACCGGCCCCTACCACCCGGCGCGCCCCAGAAGTGTCAGTTCAGGGCTCGGAAGTCCCAAGACCGAGCCTTGGAGCAGCCGGCACACACTGGTGCTTCCCGAGTGGCATCAGCTGTGGGAACCTGGCTTGGAGGGATCCTGGGTGCCCGACCTGTGATGGGCCCTGGGGCAGGCGTGGCTCGCAGCTGGGAGCTCTGCCCAACCCCAGGTGGTGTCACGATGACTCACACGGGGCCACCCCTGTTGCCGTCTGCAGACCACTAGCCGGTGCTCAGCGCAGAGCCTGCACTTCTCGGTTGGGGGCATGAGCAGAGGAGGAAGGGAGGACCCAAGCTCGGCACTGCCCCTCCCCAGCTCCATCCCTCCCACGCACAAGGTCCGGCTCTGGTTGCTCCCAGCCCATCCCGCGAGCGGAGAGCGAGCTCTGTGAGGGTGTGTTCCCGCCCACATGGCAAAGGGCGCGTTTCCCTGGAGGCTCACGTCCAGGCTCCTTTGTGTGGGCTGCAGGAGGGAAAGGTTGTATTTGTGCATAGTAGGTGTTTGTTGATTGAATTTGTTGAATGACTGCTAGAAACTCTGAGTGCTTAGAACTGTGCGATCCTCAGGTGTTGCGGCTGGTACCATCGTGGCAGCTCTCGGTCGCAGGGCCATGGAGGGGAGGGGTCACTGCTGTCCCCGGGTGCCGAAGGCCACAGCGTCCCTCCCGTGTGGCTGCATGGCCAGCTCTCATCTCACCGCCAGCGGAGCCCGGTGGTGAGGCGCTCAGGCACCTCAAGACTAAGTTAGACACTTGGTTGAGGCGGACCCAGCCCCGTGCTTGGGGATGGGGCAGCTTCTTGCACTGGCCCAGGGGTCACAGAGGACCTGGCCCTGGCTGAATAAGCTCACAGGCTGGTGGGGGCAGCGGGTCCGTTGATGGATGGTTTCAACTCGGTAAACTTTCAAGAGAATCGGGAGGAGATGCTGTGGGTGCAAAGACCTGAGCATGGTCAC